TCCCCAAGCCTGTAGCGTTGCATGGGGTTGAATTCTTCCAGTTGCCAACCAATAGTGTCACCCCACTAAACTCACACATGGTTGCATGTGCTGACACAGTATATGCAGATGCTGCTAATGACCAGATGAAGGTGCTGTTACCTGAAGATGTTTTCTACTGCTCTTCTGCTCAGCAGTGCTGCTTGTAGAGCAAGGTCCCGTAGGATTTAAAAGAAAATGCTGAACTGTGCATTGGTTTTGAGCATTGGTCTACAGAATGTGTGGCAATTATGCCCTTGCTAAATGGTTACATTTGATGGTTCAGAAGCACATGTAAGTGATATTACATTGTATTAGATTCCACTGGGTTTTGGAAGGAACCAACCAGTTGGTTCCTGTATATAAGAATCTGGCATTTTTCTGGGAATGATAGCCTAGTTGTCTTGGTTATCAACCTGCTGAGATGCAGAGAAGCAAAGTAAGTATCGGTTAGACTAGCTCTAACTTAATTGGAAACTATCAGCATTTTTTTACTGACTCTCAAACTCATTCTTCTCTCTGTGTCCCAGCCCTGTAATTCATAGCTGGTGCTACTCCAGTGTTCACCCGGAGCATGCACCCTTTTTAAGGTAAGGAGTGGATGGCAGATTCTTCCATCTACTTCTTCTGGACACATCATGGTGGGGAGGAGGCATCCTGCTTTGTCATCCTGTAACAGCTTCTTCAGTGTATTTGTGTTTGAATCATCCAGTGTTTCTTGTATGAAAAGAAGATACACAGTAGTAATTCCACAGCGATAAAATGTGTTTTGTGTACCATTGTCAGAGTAAGGAACTGGATAATATGTTTGTAAAACACCTCACAGATTAAATCCAGGGCAAATGTCATATCCCTTTGCAAGCTTTGTTTAAGGGACAAGTCCAGACTCTTTTGCTTTTGTCTGCCCTCCATCAAGATTTACACCTGCCAGGGGATCTTTAAAACCTGCCAGTGTTGCAATAGGGAATTTATCTTAAGACTCTTGAAGAGATATTTTGGATGTATGTATTCCTCTTAGCTGATGAAACCAGGGTAGGAACAGTTTTACATTTGTGCACGGTGGTTAGCAGAATGGGGCTGCAGTTTTGCCACTAGAATGCATAAAATAATGATTCTAGAATTTAGCGTCCTGACTATCAGAATGTTTCTACTTTAGGAAGGCATCAGCATGCAGATGGTATTTGACCACATACTACTGAAAGAATCATGGCTTTCCTTTTTTCCCTTGTCCTAGAAACAGCACGTGTAATTCTTCAACCTTTGATGAATCGGAAGATGAGATATGCTTGTTGAAGTCAGGAGAAATCATGTAAGTAGAAGTTTTGTTACTACCAGGCTGAAAGAGTAAAGGCTGAGCTCAGATATCAGCTATGTGAGCACAAGTCTTGCAGACTCCTCGAAGAGCTGATTGCTTGTGTCCCACAGTAGAATTTGGTCTGAGTATGAGCAGAGGGTGTATCTCAACTACACAGAGCAGCAGCAATGAGCCTGGTCCTCTCTCTTCAGTCCTGCAAAACTTGAGTGCAAGTGGGGAATAAGAAGGAAAGATTTGGTTCCGCATCAGATGGAATATTCTTATTGCAGGAGGTTCTGTGAACAGAAAGAGAGAAGGCTGTGTAGTTCTAGTGGTCTCTGGAAGAAACTGCAAGGGGAAGTCAGGGAGTGCAGTGCTAGTCAGACCTTTGTCATGGGGAGGGAATTCATGGCCTTTTGGAGCATTTATCTGTTATTTATTGGTGGCCTCACAGAAACTGTCTTGCCTGTTTTCATCGATATATGCCATAGCATAAAATGTTCAGCTGAGCCTCTGCTCAGCCCCTGTGAACCATGATTCTCCGCGTGTATCCTGCTCTGAAATTAATAGTTACGTGCAGTAGCGATACAGCATGTCACTTGCACAGCCAAGAAGGGAATCTAACATATGAAAATGCCCATGACTTGGAGAAATTCCCCTTTGCTCACTCTCCCCTTAAGGCAAGCTTTGAAATTTTGGCTTAGTTTTGGGGGAAGGTTTTAAACTTTTGACTGCAGGGAGATAAATTAGTCCATGTTTCAACCTTGTTGCTGCTGTTCAGAGAACGAGGTAAATGAAGCAGTAACTAAAATCATAGCTGGGCTGTGGGGCAAAACGAAGAATGATCGGTAGTTTATTAAAATCAAAGACCACCTGAGACACGCCAGTAGTTACTTCAGCTAAGAGGAAAAAGTAACAAAGTAAGCAAAACTTAATACAAAGCTTCCCCTCTGGCCAGAGTACAATAGTTATTGTATGAATCTGCTGTGATCCCTAACCACTGTGTAGTCATAGTTGGAAACTGAACTCCTCCTTACACTAGAACAGCAAATCATCATGGCGACTGTGTGATATCTTATGGTAAATGTGATGATTTTTGATAGCTGCTGACAAACAAATCACAGTACTGTGATTTCCTTTGAGCTCATTGATTTGGAAACATTTATTTGGCCTGAAGAGTGATTTGTTAGGTTAGTTCTAGTTAGGGTAAGAGGGGTGAGATCCACAGCTCTTAGAAATTACAGGTTTCCCCTGAAGAAAGCAAGCAGCATTCTCCTGTTTAAGGGCCTCACTGTTTGCAGCCGGAAATAGATATCAGAATGAGGTAGGCTAATGTAATGCTTCAGGACTGAGGATCATTTAGGTGCTAAGAATTTCCCTTTTTGATTGGAAGAACTTTGAGTCTGTTTTTCTGCAGGTTTCTTGGGTAAAACAGACCAAGCTGTAGCATTAGGTGCTTCACAGGATCTAGACAGATCTGTTCACGTTCCATCCATCTGTCCTCTCCGTACTCTTGATCCCTATTGCCTGTACAAATGATACCTAGAAAGATGAATACATTAGGTGACTATTTTTTGTTTAAATTTTTGTTTAAAAAGAACAGTAGAGGGCAGCAGACTCTTTTTTTACCTTAGTAACTAAAAAGCTTTATTCAAGTACTAGATTTTTCTAGTCAGAATGGGATAGATAGGTGAATAATATCCACATCTGCTAGAGCAGTGAGAATGCTTGATATCAGTTACCTTTTCGTAGTTCTTGCCTTCATCCAAGGCTGAATTTTCGTGCATGTTGTGGATCTATCCCAAAGTTGCTGTGGAGTCTGCCTCAAATAGATGGAAAATAAAAAGCAATGATTATTGTTCCTGTCTGCGTAATTGGATTGGATCTCTTCAAGTAATTGTATTTTTCTCCCTCACAGGATCAAATTACCCCTTACAGTGGAAGAGATCTTAAATTTTGGGGAAAGCAATAGAGAGCTGTTCATTAAATCCAGCACCTACAGTATCATTCCCATCACCGTTACAGAGATGGGGCTAACAATTAGCTGGATCTTTTCATCAGACCCTAAAAGCATATCCTTCAGCGTTGTCTACCAAGAGTCAGAAGACACACCACTGGATCAGTGCAAGGTAAGGCCTCTGTTTCCTTACTGCCTTAGGGATTGTAGTACACTACAATCAGCCGCCTAGAGGAATCAGCAAGTATAGCTAGGAGGTCTCCACAAGTGTGCCAGTTGCTGTTGCACTAAGGACTTGGTTCTGCAATTAAGCTACAGTTCTGCTGAAGGCAGAGCTGCATCCTTAATTATTTTATGTTGCCTGCAAAAGTTGAGTTGAAAAGCACTGTAGGTTCTGTTGGTCACATCTGAAATTCACCCACTATTATTAAGCAAAAATAAAAGTCCAAGCCTGCAAAATTCTTTTTTCCCTCCTCAATATTACTTAATTTGTAAGCTGCTTAGGGCTGATCTTGCCAGGCTCTTAAGCAGAGGCCAGAAGGAGACAGATAAATTGATTGGGTTACCTGCATTTCTTACAATGAAGCATATGTTGAAGTGCCTTGATGGTGTGCAAAATCACTTTGCCAGTGCCTAAGGTACCAGTTTTAATATGCACTGTCCATATTTCATGAGGATTATGGATTAAGTGAACCTATGTTACTCAGCTAATTGCAAAGTTTTGATGAAGACAAGGCAGCTGGTGGTTTAACCCGCCATGGTACGGGGAACTCTTTAAGGCTGTGATTTCACTGGGGGAATAAGACATTCATATAGCATGCGTTAACTCACTCCACGGTTACTAACTCCATTTAACATCTCTTTTTTTCTGAATCTGAAAGCAGAATGAAGACTGAATGTTGCTTCCATCTTGATATGTATTTATTTAATATAACTTTGGGTTTTATAGGGTCATCATCCTTGATCTATTTCAGCTGCTGTTCTGACAAACTGTCACTGCTAGGGTTTTACAGCAAGATAGATGGTTACACACACTTTTGCTGTAAGCTTAGATAAACAATTAAGATTTGCTGAGAAAGCTTATTTTGTAACACAGGCAGTATAAAAGCATATATTAAAAGATATATTTAGCTAAATCGTGCTCTTGGATATATTTTTATAGATTTAATGTAGCATTGCTGATGTTAGTAAACTTGCTTAGATTAATATTAAAAAGATCAGGATTTGATTCTATCTCTAAAGCAGAGATTTATAGCCATAGCTTAATGCTCTGAAGAGGTTATCAAAGGAAAACAGATGTCTCACTGTGATATTTTAGTTTGAGTGAATTTTTAATGCCAATCAGTGAAAATAAATAGTATTGCAGGCACATACACACTTTGGGAGTTTGAAGATGGCTCTTGTCTAGTCTAAATATTTTTTGGAAGGCAAATGTCAATTTATAGGGCAAATAGCAAGTTTCATTTTTATTTGTATTGAATTCCAGGTTCTTATTCCTATGACCCGCTGCAACTCTCATAAGGAAACTATCAGAGGACAGGTGAAAGTCAGAAACTCTGGAATCTACACGCTGATATTTGACAACACATTCTCTAGGTAGGTTCTAACTGGGTGTAAATGGTGAAATAAGCTTGGTTTTACAGACTGTGGAATTGATCAGAATTGCCATTATTCTGCCATTCAGAAGTAAGTATGAGAAATTTGTCCTGGCTTGACAAAAGATCTTCAGACCAATTTTTGGCTCTTGTTCTTGTTTGGGTTTTTCTTCTTCCGCCATAGCAGAATTCCACTCTTCTGTCTCAACCTCTTGGAAGGTAAACAGAAGTAAGCAAGGAATTTGTGACTATTTCCAAGACAGTTTAGTCAGGATTGTCATCTTATTAACAACAGACCTGGCAGCCCTTGCACAGGCATACTTCTTTTTAACAACAGTCAATTTTTTGCCTGAGTATAAGCCAAAAGACTGAATACACTTTTAAGGCCTCCTCTCTAGTTGACTTCAGCTAACATGGTCATCTTGCTCTCTTTTTTCCTTGACAGGTTTATCTCAAAAAGGGTGTTTTATCACTTGGCTGTCGAGAGACCTGTCATCTATGATGGAAGTGATTTTCCATAGCCTTGAATATACTGTGTTGTTTTTAATTAAAATTTTAAGAAATGCTATTATTTATGTACATGTAAGCATTATGATTACCACTGTGTTTGAAGACTTTGAAACTATGCAATAGTTATAATGCACTTAGAGAACATGTATACACTAAAAAACAGAAGCCTTTTTAAGAACACTAATGGTTCTGTACTGTGTACAGATTGCTGAAAAGCCATGTTGTTTGATTTAACAGGTCAATAATAACCAAATTTTTTTCAGTGGGGAGAAAAAATAAGTGTGGGGCTGTCTAAATGCAAACTGAAATTCTCTGCTGAAAATTGAATTACTTCCAAAAATATCCTTCAAAAGGAAATTTAAAGAAAAACGCATATTTTTGTTGACCTCTTCCCTGAAGAGTAAACATAACCATTTCTGTTCTGCTTTACTGCTCTTACAGTCAGAACAACAACTATGCAATACTTCAATCTTCCCAGGCATATATTGTAATCCATCTAGAATTTTTTATCTTTTCCAAGTTTTATAAACAGCAAACATAGGGGTTTTTTACATTTTGGGCTAAGATTTTGTAAGCCTCGCTTTTACAAATGCTTTGGTACTGAATACCAGTTACAAAACAATACAACACAACGCAGCAACTCCTTTCACTTTTGCTCACCATACTCTGTAAGTTGGTCCACTGAAATCAGCTCTTACGGTGAGTACCAGTGGCAGAATCAGGAGTATCATTTGTAGAATAAAGTACTGCTCACTGTGTGATTTTAGGAAGAGGAGCATTCCTTTTTCCTGCTTTAGCACCTTAGTCATCAGCATTCACAGGAAAGCACAGTTTCTGAGGAGATCAGCAGTCCCTCTCTGGGAGAGTCTCTCTCTCTGCCGCGTGGAACGTAGCAATAATGTTTGAACCAGTCTCAAAAAGTCGATCCAAAACCGAATGCATATCCAGCCCTGATGAGCTCTCCACCCGGTGTTCATGTTGCACCTTTCCTAACCCTTGCAGTTGCCCTAGCCAACTGCTAACTTTCCATGTGGATTTGGGAACAGAGCTGGCTGTCAACACTGCCTTTTAAAGAAGACTGGGTTCTCATTTATAGAAAATTTCCATGCAAACCGTCTGCTTTCTATATGGAATTTCAACTTTTTCTTAAAATATCTGCAAGCAGATTTCTCTCTTAAAAATTCCTGTCTTCTGATGGAAAGGCAAAACATTTTGGCAGGAGAAAGGAGAAAACCTCTTTCTCCCAACCACCCCTCCACATCAATGTCTGATTTCTGTTACTGTTCTCCCAGGGAAACCTCAGACCTGGAATGTTTTAGTGCAGCAGTTGGTAGAAGATGAGCTCAGCCTGCCAAGAGCCCTTGTAGACTCTTGGTGGCCGCTGTAGCTGATATACAGGGATCATGGTGGGAGACAGAAAATAAAACATGAGGGGAAGGAAGAAAAAGGGGCAAGCACAAGCTGAAGCAAATGATTTAGGGGAGGGGAAAGAAAGCACAGGGGCAAACTTGTAAATATAAAAACAAGGGCAGGGAATTAGAGGGATCAGCTTGACTAGGGAAGGAAGTCAGGAGAGTCCAACTGGTATTTACATATTGCTGGTCCAATCCATTACCCACAGGAGATCTTCTATAGCAAAAGGCTGGTTGTTTAAAAGATGGAGATCACAAGACAAGTGTTGGGCATTTACACAGTAGCAGCTGAGGTAGAGGGAAATTTCTGATTAAAGGAAAGAAAAGAATACTGCAGATAAAGCTAAAGGTTGCTAATCATTCCAGTTGTTAACAATGTATAAATACAGTTATCTTGAAAAAGATTGTGAAAGAATGACTACCTTTCATGGGAGCACCTAGATTTTTGGTGACTGGCTCATCAGTAGCTCTCCCTTCCCTTCAGATGCCTCTTCCCAGTATGGGTGGTGTGCTCTCCAGCTGCTGCCGGGCTGAGGGGTCAGTGGGAGATGCAGGCTGGTTTATTCCTCCTCCTGAGGGCACAGGCTGTGATGCACTTCAACCCTTACTCACCTGCCTGTGTGCATGAAAATGAGATGGGCAAGAGACTGAAGTTGGCAATAAACAGGCAATAAACAGTGCATGGATCAGTTCATGAATGATGACATGTTTCAGTGTTGAAGCTGTATTTTATATTTAATTAGGCAAGAAGAGATTATTTATTGCTTAAAAATGGAGTACTGTGTCCCATATGCTATGCAGTTTCACCGAGCTGTTACTGAAGTCTGCTGCAGTTTTCTTTTAAGCTTTTAGGTGTGGCTTTTAAAAGCATTTTGCTGTTGTTTTAGTTAGAATATTAATCTTACTAGGATATCTTTCTTAAAATGCCAAATGTAAGGTGAAGGGACACTGTCAAGTATCTTAGGCCAAAATATGACAACTCTGCCCAGAAGTATTTAAAATACCTCCATTCAAAATTATTTGACAGAGTTGCCTCTGGATTTCCTCTCAGCATCCGAGTTCTTAGCATTTTTTCGTCCTGTGGCAAATATTTTTCGCCACTGTTTAAGTAACTCTTGAAGTAATTGGCTCCATCTAATAAGCCAGATGTTTCCCTGCAAGTGTTTCATGTAGACAGTCCTGAGGCTGGCTGAAGCGTATGTTTGGGAGGAGGGGAATAAAAACACTGGATTAAAAACACTGGATTGTTTTTATCTGGCATTTGAGTCTTTATTGTACCTTTTCTTTAGGTTCCTGCCCCATGGGAGTAGTTTTATGGCTTTTTTGCTCTCTGAAAGAGGACTAAGTGTGGGAGCAAGAACCTGTAGTTTAAAGAAAAAAAGAGAAGGTTTGCTTCTAACCAAGGAGAGTATTTAAGTAGGAGAAAAATTTTCAAAAGAGGCAATACTCAATCTGGTAAGGTACAACAAGTGGACAGGAGTGCAGCTGTTCAAGAACAGGAATCCCATCCCATGTCAGCTAGAAGAGGGAGTCTTTTCCACCTCGGACGCTGTGCAGAGAAGACAGTAAAGAAACTGTCACTAGTACCAACCTTTTGTTTGAATGTCCCAGACGGTTTATGACTGGAGCCGTGGAAACCCAATAAAGGACTTAGGACTTAGAGTGTAGATTTGTGCAATGTGTGATTTCATTCAAGCCCCTTATACCTCCATTCATAAAGCACTTGTTCATGTGAGCTGTGCCAGGGACGCTGATAAATCTGTTTGTTTACAGGTGCTCAGGTGAGTTGTTGAATTGGGCTTTTTATTATCCAAAGGTATGCAATTAAGAGAAAAGCAATATTTAAAATTGATCATAAGATTAATTGAAGGGGATGTCACGCTCATGGAACAAAGAGAGCATACGTTGTGGTCAGCATAAAGCAACTGGGTGTTTTTCCTGGGCGCTGGAACAATGGAGGGTAATGTTTTTTGTTCTGCAGAGGTTTATGAGAAGGAAAGAACATAGTTGCTTTAAGAAAACGACAGTGTTCCTTTGCTCATCATTACTCAATATTGCTTTCTGAAAAATCAGAGAGATGTATTGCACGAGAGTGTACCACATTACAAAATAGCAAAGCTTCAAGAGCCTGACTTTGCACCTTTTTTAAAATTGAAATTGCACTATAGTTTTCATTATGCTCAATCACTGAGATTGTAACTTGTTCAGAAGCATCTTTTGGTCTTAACTGCCAAAGAATTGCAAACCCCGTTCACATCAAACTACATGCTCCAGATGGGGGAAAAAGAGTTTTATGTATACCAGCGTCTGTACAGTTACAGAGATGTAGACGGTTGTGTACTGGAATGTTTCTTGATGCTTTTTTCTTTCCTTTTTTAACCTCAGGAATTAAAAAAATAAAATTCGATATCATTCAGTGTGTCCTTTTTCTGCCTTGTAGAGATAGCTTTGGAAGATAAATCAGGTGATTGTATGATCTACTTCTAAGCAGGAAAAAATTTTACAAAATTAGGGAAATAGAAAATGGTTTGTCACGCTGGTGGACAAAGGGCACGTCTGTAGAGTACATCCGAGCAACAGCAGAGATCCTTAAATAAGTACTAGGTGAGCTGGCCCCCAATTTAGAGCGACTGTCACCGTGTCCTGGTGGCTCGGAGCAGTCAGGCCTGCCCCAGCAAGGGCAGAGCCCCGTGGCTGAGAAACACTTTTGTCCACCTTTGCATCCCCTGGGAGGTAAGAACAAAGCCACCCCAAGGACAGCAATTGCACTCACTGTCCTCAGTCGCGCCGAGCAGCGTTGTCCGTCAGCTCAGGGCTCCCATCTGGTTTTCCCCAGGTCCTGGCCAGGTCTGTACGCCCAAGTTACGTTGCGTGGCTGTGGGAGGGAAAGAAGTGCCGTCTGAGTCGCCGGCACTCTTCACGTGTTGCCTCTGAATTGCATCTGTAGTCCCAGTCCCGGGGCACGTGGTAAACGCATAGGCTCGTCTGAGCTGCTGGGGACATCTGAATGGGGTCCAGAGGACAACAGGCCCCATCATCACCAGTCATCACTTCTTTTATCGGTTATTTCTGTTCCCTCACGGGAGTTTCGTGCTGGGGTGGAGGCTGCGGCACTTCCCATCCCCGCCGCCCAGCAGCAGCACCAGCCGCCGCTCCACGCTCAGGGGCCTCTTGCTGGGTCAGAGCCTCCAGCAAAGCCTATAGCCCATGGCACAAGGGACCTGCAATACACATGTAAGCGACGACCGTACCTGAGCGATGTACAACAGCTCTGCAGGGGAGGCTGTAGCTCTTGGAAGCCTTTGTGTACATCTCCAACATTTAGCCTTACTGGACAGTATCTCCTCCCTTCTTTGGTGCTGGTAGCAAGGTTCTCCCAGCCCTAGTGCAGCCTATACGCGGGGTCCTAACCCGCCTGTTTCTTGGCCTGTGCCCCAAATATTGGCCTTGGCACAGCCAGTACGACATTCTGCTGTGGGGACCATGTGAAGCCGCCATGAGACAGTGGTATCTTCCCCATTAGCCCCTGATATGTCACACGGACGCTCTGAAGTCCAAATATAAGGTTTCAAAACACATATGGCCCAGGAGGCTTGGAAAAAAACAGGCAGCACTTGGAGGTGCTGGGACTACAGCATCTGGTCAGTTAAATGATGGATAATTGATTCAGATTGTACCTGGAAATGGTGGGTTTGCACAGACCGAACTCAGATCGATGGTTCTGGTTTTGGGCTACTTTTATCTACTGTGTCTTCAGTGATTCTTGCAGCACCCATCGCCGTTCTCTCACACCTTTCCATCTTCCTGCTCTCTGGAAGAGACGCTGCTGTAAAGCACGTCCCCGTTTCAGGCAGGAGCAGGTATCAGTCAGGCAGGTTTGCCTGCAGAAGTGAAAGTTTCTCATCAGCTCGCCCAGCTTCCTCTCCTTGCACCACAAGCCAGCGGGCACCATGCTACGTGACTGCCTGCACCACGGTCGCGGCTACCTCCGAGCCCTTCACCACAGCAAGCTGACGACAACCTGAAGCTACTGCCACGGCTGTCCCCGCTACGGCACAGCTCCCAGCCTTTGCAGTTTGGGGGGGGTTAGGCCAGCAGGCAGGTCTGGCCCAGTTCCCACTTGGGTGAAATCTGGGGTCCTGGCACGCTCCTGGCTCTCAGAAGTCTGAGGTGAGGACTGGGAGTTGGGGGGTCTTGGGGTGACAATGCAAGGCTCAGGGCAGAGACAAGCTGAGCTGCTCCTTCAAAGAAAAGGGACAGCAAAGGAGACTGCAACCCAAAACCATGAACATGTGGGAAAAAATGGCCTTAAAGAGAGAGGAGAGGAGCTGTGTAAGATCTTGGGCCTCTCCCAGGGCTTCCAACAACTGCTGGGTGACTGTGCTGCTGGAGCTGTGGGTAAGGCACAGGCAGAGTCCCATGGGAGGCGTGAGCTGCCGTGGGGCAGGGGACGTAATACCCCGCGCCCTTGGGGAAACCCAGGCAGCATCAGCTGAAGGCTGGGGACACCCTAGGGAAGCGTTGGAGGGATTTTGGTGGGCTAAATCCAGCTAAAGCCTCAGGGCAGAGAGACAGAGGAGTCCCGGGATGGCTTGGTCGCAAGGAGCTGGGCTGCTGGAGGAGAGAGGTCCCTGGCAGACGGAGGAGGGGGCAATGGCAGAAGAATGCCTCCATGACAGAGTCCTCGCTGTGCGGTGGCCAGCAGTGAGGAACCCCGCCAGGGATGAAGCTGCAGCCGGAGGGGCCGCAGGAAGGCAGCTTCCCTGCAAGTTCGGGGGGTCAGGCAGCCTGGGAAGCCACCAGCGGCTGCTGGACCACAGGCAGCCCCGGTGGGAGGGACCCCACAAGGGAAAACCCACCCAGTGGGGTGGTCCCCTGGCTCCCCAGGCAGGGCGGCGGGGAGCACCTCAACTCAGGGTGGGACCGGCATGACTCAGGGACGACCCTGCCGCCCCAAACTGCTGAAAGTTCATCGCCGTTTCACCACCCTCAACAGTTTCGCTCACCGACCAAGCATGAAAATTTCCCACCATATTTTGCAAAGCAAAGAAGCTTTTATCTTCGTTGAGAAGGCCCCGAAATTCAAGTTCCCGGGGCCGGCAGGACGCACAGCTCGAGGGCTGGTTTGGGGCTGGGAGGACCCCCTGGGTAGGAGCACCCTCGCCCCCATCTCTGGGAAGGGGCGGCAGGGCTCCCTCCTCCCACGCCCTCAGAAACCTGCCCTCCCTCCCAAAACTGCACCCCACCCGTCGCCTCCGGCCCCGAAACCCACTCTGGCGCCTGTGGGATCCTCAGCTGCGGCTTCCACACCCCAAGGCACAGACGCACATAGTACACCCTGTTAGCAAGGTTTTCCTCCGGCCTTTTTCAGGAGGGGTAAAATCTGTCATTGGAAACAGGTTACGTCTACGGATCCAAACCCGGGAAGGACGCCTGAGCAAGAAACAACCGGTTCATCCCCTCACAGTTTGTGCCAGTGCCTTTATTTAACACAATTTCAGCTTCCATTTGCACTGAGCTCGACGCAAATCACAAAAAAAACCCAAACCCTTCTTACACGTACAGTGAAAAATACAAACGTCTTTCATAATTTTTTTCCCTAAGGAAAAAGTAAAAAAAAAAAATTTAAAAAATCCTAATAAACATATACGAAACTAGAACCCCATCTGCTCAGAAATACCCTATTAGCTAGAAAAGCAGCGCCAAGCCTCGCAGAAATCTTGTGTTTATCGACACACTTTAATGATAAATGGACAACGAAAACGCTTTCTTCCTGCAAGAAATAATTACCAGGAGGCAAACCAGGTTAAATGTGATTATTTAAAACAAAGCCCCCTGAGCACCACAACTTGCAACCGAAGACCGGGAGGCGCCGGCTGCGGTCAGGCAGGACAGGCGATGCTGTGTCGCCGGGAGGGGACGAGGGAGGGGGAACGGCCACACAGTGACCTGCGGCCTCGGGCACCGTTATGGTGCCAGCACCGGCACACCGAAAGCCCTATAGAAGTTGTGGGGTGCAATACAGCACACCGCTTTTGGGAACCCCTGCCTCCACCAACCTCAAGATTCAATCCAAATTTCATTAAATTTAGATTTGACGCTTCATTACTCTCTGTCTTACTGACCTCAGGCTAAATACATTTTTTCACCGTTAGCAAAGATGTCAGTGAATAACCAGAGTCTGTTGAACCATGGGTTTGGTTTTTGGGTTCTGTTTCATGATGGCTATGCACCACAGTATGGCAAATATCTCCAGGACAGAAAACTCAGCACCTCCGACGTCCTTGAATTTTTATCGCAAGGTGCAGTTTGTCAATGCAAGGACCGCACAAAATGCCAGTATCACAACAGGAGCCGTAGCAAATGCATTGTACCAAATTTCACCGTGCAACACACAGCGAAAATAAAGGAGAAAACTCTCATTCTGTAAATGACCACTTTCTGATGAACACAAGCGACCGTCTTTCCTTTGCAACACGAACCGCCCGTGCGGCACAGCAGGGTTGTGTGTCGGCACAGGCACAGAGAGCAGCGTTTACCTGCCGCTGCAAGCCAGCCGGGAGCTAAAGGGGGTTCTCCTTTACGGCAAAGGGGACCTGGTGTAGGTGCGAACAGGTCTCTCGAGCCTGGCCACCTCCGTAGGAGACCCTGGCTGGACTGCAAATGACGGCTGAACCCCCTCCTACTGCTTCCTGAGGTCAGGACGGGCGGCTCATCCTGCTTCACCTGCCCTGCCGCCGCCGTAGCTTGGCTTACCGCCTCTCTGCGAGGCTGCTTATTTCTGCTTGTGGTCTGAGCTGCAGATGGCCTGGGTATTTACAGCTGTCACAAAAATAGCTTTTATCCTCTGTCAGTTCTGCTTACGACAGTACAGCTCCATTTTGCTGCCCTGTGCCGAAGGTTTCCCTTCCTTCTAGCCAGCAAGCACCAGTTAGGTCCCGCATGGTGAGGACAGGGCACATGAGGAGCCCCCAGCCCTCCCCGCTCCTCTGGGACAGTCTTGGGGGTATACAGATGGTTTCCAAAGAGTTTGGTGCTCCTCCGGAGGGGAGAGAGGGGGGACTAACTTACAAGAGGACTTGGCAACGGAGGGGGCATAATGGAGGAGGCCAAGTGGGTGCTGAGGGTCAGGGAGTTTCTCACCCGCCGCCTGCCCAGTATGGCAGAGGACCAGTCTGAGCTGTGCTCCTGGCTGTCGCAGGCGGAGGAGCGCTGCTTTTGGCCCCCACCCTGGCAGCAGCCGCTGCTCCGCACCATCCTGCCCAGCGCCGCTCCGAACCGCTCCCCAGCAAAGACGTAGAGGAAGGGGTTGAGGCAGCTGTGGAGGAAAGCGATGCTCTGGGTGACCTGCAGCCCGATGTCCAGCTGGTTGGCAGCCTGACAGCTGTATGCCACCCTGGTGTAGTTGTTGATGGCTTTGACCATCAAAACAACATTGTATGGGAACTGAGAGAGGAGGAAAGCAGTGATGATCATGGTGATGATCTTCAGGGACTTCTGCTTTTGGGATCTTTTGGCTTGCAGGAGGGTGTTGATGATAAGAGTGTAACAAATAACCATGACGAGGAGTGGGAGGAAGAATCCAATTGTGACTTTCAAGGACAGAACAGTAACTCTGAAGACCATGCTGACATTTGGTGGGTACATAATTTTGCAAACTGTGATGTCACCCACCCACATGCTTTGGCTGTAAATGATTTCTGGGATGCACAGGCTCATGGACATCAGCCAGACAGTCAAGCACATGAGTTTGCTGCGCAGGAGCCGCCTTTGCTTAGAAGTTTTAGCTTTCATCGCCTGAACAATAGTGATGTACCTGTCAAAGCTGATGCAGGTTAGAAACAAGCTGCAGCCATAGAAGTTGATCTTATACATGCTGTTGACGACTTTGCACATGAAGTTCTTGAAGATCCAGCCATTGGAGGCAGCCTTGGCCCAGAAGGGGAGGGTGAAGAGGAGGAGTAGGTCCCCAATGGCCAGGTGCAGCAGGTACCGGTCCATCATGCTCCTCCTGAAGTGGTATTTGCAGTAGACAAGCACGACCAAGGCATTTCCCACTGTGCCCACAAAGAAGATGAGCCAGAAAAACACTGGCAGGAAGGCTCGAGCAAACTGCCTGACCTGCCTTTTGTCGCACATGAAGTCTGTGCCGTTCACCAGGTTTCCGTACAGAGACAGCAGCGTGCTGTCATTCTTGTAGTAATCCAGGCTGGTCTTGCCAGGTTGGGTGACCTGTAATGGGACATCAGGTAAATTTGTGTTGAGAGATGGCTCAGTAAAGCATAAATTTGCCCCTCTCCACCAGATGCAGTTGAAGATCCCTGATATATTCCCTTTTAGATGGGAAAGAGCAAAGGCTGCCTGCGAAACACAGCACATTTCAGTGTGTGTGGCACAACAGAGACTTAGAAAAATGATCCGTTGAATAACAAACTCTTAAGAAAAGAGCAGTTCACAGTCTCCAGCCAACTATTAAAATGGCAGGTGGTGGGAGCATTCCTCTGTCAGATCATTCAAAACACTGTTGGTTTGGCAGCCTCAAATACATAACAAATGCAAAATCACCAACTTGGAAGAGGTGGGGGAGAAAGCTTTGTATTACTGCTATGGTGGGACATCGCAGGGACAATTTGTGCCTGCTCATTGCAGGGTGGTTGGACTTGATGACCTTAAAAGGTCCCTTTCAACCCAAAGATTCTATGGATCACCATTGGCTCGAGAGAGGCAGAAAACTGATGGAGGCAAAGAGGGAGGGAAGAAAAATGGAGATTACACAGCAGCATAGCTGTATACTCACTATGCTTGCAACTTCCATCTTCAGCTAGATCCTTACTCAGTCTTGAAGAAGATACCGTAACCTGGAGGGGAAAGATGGGGAGAAAACAACTGATTTGACATAGCTTTGAAATAGAACTGTGACTCCCTTCTTCTTCTTCTTCTTCTTCTTCTTCTTCTTCTTCTTCTTCCTCTTCTTCTTCCTCTTCTTCTTCTTCCTCTTCTTCTTCTTCGTCTCATAAAAACCTCAACCCTTTGAAACAAGTCTGGCCAGGAGATGAACAAACCATGCAGAAATTGATGTTGCTGGTTTGAATTATTTAGGTATTTCCATTTTACAAATTTACATTTAGCCTATATTAGGTCTTTGGATTCTCTATGGCACTGTGCTGACTATGTCCTTTGACTTACTAGTGTCACTATGATCTCATTTTTAGTAAGATGTAGAGTCCCCAGTGCACACATTAAAAAAGAAAGTAATCTGAAAGTACCGTATCTTCCAAAAGATTCATGAGAATAAACAAAATGTGTCTCTTAAATTGCCTAGCGACTAACAAGGAAAAGTACCTGCCTTTAGTAGTAGTTTGCGGTGTTAAAATATTTGCATCCTTTGCAGTGACTGATAATCTCTGCCTACAACATCTCTTTCTTATCTAGGAGTTTAAGCACGATGCCCATTTCTGTTGGCCTGTGAAGCAGGTCATTATGCCCCAGTAAAGAAGAAAATACTTTTTTCCGGCCACAGATTGCTTTTCAAGTCTGTCTGTCTACCATCACAAAAGGTAGCTGAGCCTGGCGGGCTGGACGCGAGTCACGCACTCCGAAGTGTTCATGTTCTGCACCAGCCCGCCTGTGCTGGGAATGAAGCTGAGGGACAACATGAGGTGGGTCCCGTCGATGCTACCGGAGACCTTCAGCTAGCACAGACCTTTCCTCTGGACATGGGTGCCTTCAAAAGCAGGTCAGACAACCGAGAGGTCACCTTGCAGAGCCAAACCTCTCACCGCAGCAGCAGGATGGAGCTGAACCTCCTCCACGAGGAAACGGCCCACGTTCACACTCTGGCTTCCTTACGGTTGCTTGTTGCGCGCTGACTAAAAGCACCTTCCCCAGTACTACTTGGGGCGCGAACTGATGCGGCGTGCAGTCCGTCTCCCCAGCCTGCGTTAGGGTTAGCGGAGTTAGCGCATTTGTCAGCAAAGCCCGTTTACTGTAAGTGGCCACCGTGAGGGATGGCGAGCGCGCCTGCAGCCTCCTCGCGGTGTTTGCGGCACCCTCCGGCCCCGACTGCCCTCCATCCCTTTGCCCGCTCTGGAGCGAACGCATGCAGCAAATATTTGCAGGGCTTCGGAATCCGGTCAGAAAGATTCAACACAGTTGTTTTCATCTATTTAGAAATGATTGTGTTCAGAAAGCACTGATTAGGGGCTAATCCTTCCATTTTTTTACCTTCATCAAGCAACTTTAATGAACATGAATTATTTAGGAGCAAGGCGTTGCTCAAAGCAAAGCATCATTTGGCAGCATGAGATCTTTGCAATAAAAGAACATGCGTCTAGGCACAGTGTTTGCTTAAAAATAGATTGAAGAGATAAAACCAGTCACAAATACGTGCTCTTAGTTTTTAAATTTTCTATCAAGATACAGAACTACACACAGATTTATGCTGGTGCCTGGAGTTTCAAGTACAGATATAAATTTAGTACGTGGCTTTTAATGATGCCACCTGCGTCCTGTGCATAATGGTTGAATTTCTGATGCACAGCACTCAAAATATGTTTTTATTTGACTTCTTTTCAAAGACGACAACCAAGGAAAGTAAATGGCCAAAGCATACTAATGCTACAGCGTGGCGCAGGATTTACGCCAGTAAAAATATGCAAGCAGATGGAAAGAAACCACCTGTACAATACCTATCAAACAGATGTACCACATGTAAATACTAAGATGTAGAAATTAAGACCAGTCGTAGCCATCCATACACAAACGACGTTGCACAGGTCTACTGAAAGAAGCGGAAAATGCTCCTCTCCCAGCCGTGGTTCAATACAGCGAAGTCTCTGGTGGCAACAGCCCCGCAAGGGCTTTTCCTTGTCCCTGTCCCCATCCCCGTCCCGCTCTGGCTCCGGCCCAGGCAGCAGCATGAGCGCAGCGGCGGGCCG